AAAGGCAAGGGCCAGATGGCTTCAGTGAAGAATTCTACCAGAAATTAATTAAAAGAAGAGCTAATACCAATACTCCTCAAATTGTTCCACACAATATAAGCATAAGGTCCATTGCCAAACTTTTTATAAGGCTACAATTACCTTTGTACCCAAGCCACACAAAGAATACAACTAAGAAATAGAATGACAGACCAATATCCCTCATGAATATTGATGCAAAAATACTCAAAATATTGGCAAATTGAATCCAAGAACACATCAGAGAAATCATCCACCATGACCAAGTAGGCTGTAGGCTGCATCCCAGCAAAGCAAGGGTGGTTCAACATATGAAAATCTATCAATGTTATCCACCATATAAACAAAATGAAAAAGAAAAATCACATGATTATCTCACTAGATGCTAAGAAAAAAAAAAAAAGCAAAAAATAACCTTTGACAAAATCCAACACTCTTTCATGATGGTCTTGAGAGATCATGGAGAGGTCATGGAGAGATCAGAGATAACAGGAACAGGAACAATAGACCATAAACCAATAGCCAACATCAAACTGAATGGAGAGAAACTTAATGTGATTCCTCTAAAACCAGGAACAAGACAAGGCTGCCCACTCTCTCCATATCTCTTCAATATTGTACTTGACATTGTAGCTAGAGCAATAAGAAAATAAAAGGAGATAAAAAGGATACAAATTAGAAATGAAGAAGTGAAACTCACTATTTGCAGATGATATGATAGTTTACATAAGTGACCCGAAAAACTCTACCAGGGAACTCCTACAGCTGATAAACACCTTCAGCAAAGTGGCAGGATACAAGATTAATTTTAAAAAAATCTGTAGCCCTACTATATACAGATAATAAAGGGGCTGAGAAAGAAATCAGAGAAACATCATCCTTTACATTAGCCACAAACATCATAAAATATCCTGGGATAATGCTTACCAAACAATTGAAAGGCCTATATAGCCAGAACTTTGTGTCTGTAAAGAAAGAAATTAAAGAAGATATCAGAAATGGAAAGCTCTCCCATGCTCTTGGATAGGTAAGATGAACATCGTAAAAATGGCAGTCTTGCCAAAAGCAATCTACAGATACAATTCAATACCCATCAAAATCTCAGAACAATTTTTCACTGACCTTAAAAGGATAAAACTCAACTTTATATGAAAAAAAGAAAAGAGTCAGGTTAGCCAAAACAACCCTATACAATAAAGGAACTTCAGGAGGCATCACCATACCTGACTTCAAGCCCTGCTAAAGAGCTGTAGTTCTGAAAACAGTTTGGTATTGGTACAAAAATAGACAGGTAGACCAATAGAATCAAATAAAAACTCCTGATATTAACTCACACACCTACGAACACCTTATTTTTGACAAAACAGCTAAATTTATTAAATGGAAGGAGGAAAGCATCTTCATCAAATGGTGCTGGCACAACTGGATGATGGTATATAGAGGACTGCAGATAGATCTGTATCTATGGCCATGCAGAAAACTTAAGTCCACATAGATCAAGACCTCAACATAAATCCAGCCACACTGAATCTTTTAGAAGAAAAAGTAGGAGGTCAAATTGGTACAGAAGACTAGACTGCTTCCTGAACATAACACCAGTAGTGCAGAGAGTGAGATCAACAATTAATAAATGGGGCCCCCTGAAACTGAGAAGCTTCTGAAAGGCAAAGGACAGAGTCAACAAGACAAAACGGCAGCCCACAGAATGGGAAAAGATCTTCACCAGTCCTAAATCTGATAGTGGGCTGATCTCCAAAACATACAAGGAACTCAAGAAGCTAATCACCAAAACACCAAATAATCAATTAAAAACTGGAGTACAGAATGAATAGAGAATTCTCAATACAGGATTTCAGAAGACTGAAAGACTTAAGAAAGTAGGCAACATCTTTAGCCATCAGGGAAATGAAAATCAAGGCCAGTCCAAGATACCTCCTTACTCCTGTTAGAATGGGTAAAATTGGAAACACCAATGATAGTTGATGCTGGAGAGGATGTGGAGAGAGGGGAACATTGCTGGTGGGAGTGCAAACTTGTATAGCCATTTTGGAGATCAGTATGGCTGTTCCTCAGGAAAATGGGTATCAGTCTACCACAGTACCCAGCAATTTCACTTCTAGGCATATACCCAAAAGATGCACATCCATGACAAAAGGACATGTGTTCAACTATGTTCATAGCCACAGTTTTTGTAATAGCTAGAACCTGGAAACAACCTAGATGCCCCACAACTGAAGAGTAGATAAAGAAAATGTGTTATATCTACACAATGGAGTACTCAGTGGAAAAAACAACAACGGAATCTTGAAATTCTCAGGCAAATGGATGGAACTAGAATAAACAATCCTGAGCGAGGTAACCCAATCACAAAAAGATGAACATAGTATTATATTCACTCATACGTGGATTTTAGACAGAGCAAAGAATCACCATCCTACAATTCACACTGCTAGAGAAGCTAGGAAACAAGGAGAACCCTAAAAGAGACATAGATTGTCCCCCACAGAAGGGGAAAAAGACAAGATCTCCTGAGCATATTGGGAGCAGAGGGGGCAGTGAGGGGAAAAGAGGAGGGGAGAGGAGAACATGTGGGACCAGGAAGATTGAGTCAGGGAAGGATAGAGGAGAGCAAGAAAAGAGATACCCTAAAATAGGGAGCCATTATAGGTTTGAAAAGAAAACTGGAACTAGGGAACTCTTCTAACAATCTATGCAATAGTGGGCAGGCTACCTTAAATGCCCTTCCTGATAATGAGATTGATAACTACCTTATATGCCATCCTAGAGCCCTCATCTAGTAGCTGATGGAAACAGAAGCAGATACCTATAGCTAAACACTGAGCTGAACTCCTGGAATCCAATTGCAGAGAGGGAGGAGTGATGAGCAAAGGGTTCAATACCAGGCTGCAGAAACCCACAGAGACAGCTGACCAGAACAAGGGGGTACCCATGGACCCCAGACTGATAGTTGGAAACCAGGGTAGGACCAACCCAGACACGCTGAACATGGGTCTCATCTAGAAAGCCTGGGAAGTCTATTGGACCTCTGACAGTGGAACAAGGGTGTATCATTGGTGCATGAAAGGAGTGCATTTCCCATGGAGGGATACTCCCTTGGCCTAGAGACAGGAGGGAGAGCTTAGACCCTACCCAAAATGACTTGACAGAAACTGATGATCCCTCTAGGAAGGTCTCATCCTCCCTGGGGAGTAGGTGGGGAATGGGATAGGAGGGAGAGGGAATTGTGATTGATATGTAAAATAATAAAAAATAATAATAATAAATAGCAAAATTGCGAAAAAGAAAAGAAAGTTATGTTTTGTAAGGAAGATTACTTCTACTCTGTTGATCTGTGTCTGTCCCTATCCCTGAATGCCAATAACTCTAATTAGTTGGCTTGTAATTTTAATGCTCAAGTGGCTACATCTATTTGAATGCTTTAAATGGCCTTTAAACTTTGCATGACTATTAACTACATAGTCCCTCTTTACTACCCATGATTGTTTTTGTTTGTGCCTTGGTGAATGGTCTTCCATTCTGCTTGTTAATTGATAACCCTCTTTTCTTCTCATTCTTAGCACAGAGTTAACCAGTCATTCTACGATCCTATCCTTTCTTCTTATATCATTCTCTTCCTAGTTTCCCTTACTTCATCAGTTAATGTGGAGTAGCTTGTTAAACCACTTACCCTTATTCTATCTTGAAGTTTGCATCAATTATTATCTAAAAGGTACTTCTGACCACTTAACTGTCAGACATCAGCAGCTAGCTCTCTACCACTCATGAGATAAAGTTATCTGCAGCCTAGCCAGAAATATCTGGCTCAACTATATCTTTGTCTTCTAAAGTCTCCCACTGTCATTGTCCACACAGAATGACCACACCTACACTATTTTTACTTCAAAGTTTTCCCTCTCATTTTCTTCTCTTTCTGCACCAGACTTTGAGTCTAAACCAAATCATCCATCCCATCTCATTAGCACAATTCAAACTATCAATTAAAAGATTAAGATACATAGTATAGAAAGGATGTGGGTATTCTTTTCCTTTGTTAAAATTATTTAATATTTTAACTGAAGTAAATAATATGCATGGTTCTGGATGTTGTTATCCTTATTCTGGATGCTGTTTTCTGGATGCTGTTACTGAGATCTTTGATGATATCTCAAATTATACCATTGATCATGGCCCTATACTCTTAGCCAGTCTTGATCAATTACATGATTTCTCACTGGAAAACAATCCTTCCTAAATTGGCAGGATGTATAATGTATAGAGTATAAGATGTGGCTTGAGAATGGGGTCTCAGCATTGGCTTCATCATTTACTGATAAAAAAGCCTAAGAAGTAGTATTATATTTTCCTAGACCTATTTTTTTAATCTGTAAGATAATATTTAGTTCTCATGTTTGCTATATATCAAATGGTATTCAGTATATAAAAAGACAATACATAACAAAGCAAGAGCCTTCTAATACATGCAGTACTACACAGGTTCATAATCAAAGGACTAGCCTTGCCACTGGACTCAGAATATATATTATTATACATAGATATGTATCACAGAAGAATATATGAACTATATAATAAATTTATGTAAACATATATTTAATATATATTAAAGTTCTATGAATATGATCTTATTTGGGAAAAGGGTACTTACAGAACTTATCAAGTTCAAATGAATTAATCAAGGCAGATCCTAATCCAGTACCATTTTATCCAAATAAGAAATGAGACATGAAAGAAAGACCATGTAAAGAAGTTGCCATTGGTGATGTATCTATAAACTAAGGGACAAGAACTGTCAGTCACTATCAGAACCTTGGGAAGAATATTATCTTAAGTCACTCAGTTGTGATACTGTGTTACCCTAGCAAACTAATGCACATTGGTAAGAATTTCAGCTTCATTATTTTTGTGTTGCATGAGTTGAGTTTAGACTACTAGACAATTCTGCTTGCTTTCTGAAGGGCACTTACCTTTCTGTGATTGTTTCTCTGAGGCCGCTTGCCACACCCTTGACCACAGTGCTTGCTTTGGGAGTCAGCACCACCTGAGATATAAAAAACGAGCCCTTCTTTCTTCTCTCAGTGATGGATGCCTGAAGAAACTGGATCAATTTCTCAGGGTCTGTTGTGTTTGCCCAGGGTGCTGGCATCATCTGCCCAGGCCAGAGAAAGGGCACTTCTAATGCCACTGGACTATGGTAGAAGACCAATACTTGATAGTCCTTCTCCCACAGGTACTTTAGACTCACTTCCTGGGCAAAAATGGCTGGGCACATTTTGTTTCCATAGATGTCTTTCAGCATTTGGACCAGTTTTTCATGGTGATATTTCTGCATGCCATAAAAATGGTTAAAGTCCAAGAATACTACCTCTTTGTGGTGGTCTGTGAGAAATGCATTGATCTCTTCAAGACCCTCATTGACTTTGGCACTGAATAAGCCATGAGCAAAATACAGTTCATTGTCTGGGTCTCTGGGCTTGGTGGAAATTCGGAGGTCAAAGTAGCGGATTCCAGCTCCTAGCTGACCAGTGAAACTCATTGTTTGAGTGGCTAACCATTTCCTCATCAGCTTCTTGGCTACAGTTCCAAACACAGACACAAAGTTTTGGACAGTTTCTGGTTGCTCAGGGCCTACTGGAGAGGCTTCATCAATGTAGAAGCTGAACGAATCGTGGGACCCTGAAAGAGCAACAAGACAGAATGTGGTTAATTTCCAGTCTTTCATACAACTAACTTCTTTCCTTTCTGAAAAGCACTCCCTCTCCCCTCTAATGAGTCAAAGGCACTACAATGAAATATTTACTAAATATCCATATGTTGTGAGCTCCTTTGAAAGACCTGGTGTAGGACAGAGAACATATTAGTTGATCAAAACTAATGGCAAAATAGTAAATAATTTCCTTCAAATCATTACTTCAAAATTCACATAATTATCGACTATGAACTAAACTTACCGAACCAGCGAGGATAGACTTTCTACCCCAGCAATCTAAGTAATGATTCATGAAGTGTGATGTACTGCACCTCATAAGTACTAGATATTTTGTCTTTAATTTTACCATCTGTGACAGTTAATCTTGTCAATGGACAGCATTTGAAAACCACCTCAGAGGATGTTTGTAGAGACAGTTGGCAGGTATGAGAGGGTCTACCCAGAATGTGGAATGTGGGCAGTAGCATGTCATAGTCTAGGGGCTCTAAACAGAGAGAGAGAGAGAGAGAGATACAGAGAGACACAGAGAGAGAGACAGAGAGAGAGAGAGAGAGAGAGAGAGAGAGAGAGAAAGAGAGAGAAGACTGCAGTATCAGCACTTTTGTCTGTTTTCTGACTGTGGATGCCAGGGACCAGCTTCTCTATATTCTTCCTGCCACAGCTGAGGCAGAGCTCACTCCTATTTCTTCATTGTCATTCACCCTTAAACTATGAGTCAAAATAAGCTCTCCATTCCTTAAGGTGCTTTTAGGAGGTATTTTTTGTTATAGCCGCAAGAAAACCAATACACCAGTTCTTTTTGTTCTAAGCCTACAGAGATTGTCTCAATGAACAAAGAAGTTCTATGTCCAGGGGGATAGAGTGTGAATTCTTACCCCATACATTTAGGAAAGTAAAAGAGAGTTGATAAAATGGAAAAAGAAGTAAGAATATTAACTACACTCCTGACCTTGTACTTGGCCAGTTGTGGACTAAAATGAGTCCAAATGCATTTTACATACTGAATAAATAATGGAATTTCTTGTAAATTAATACAAAAAACTGTGCTTAAAATAATAACAGTAGGCCAATCAAAGATATTTTCTTTCATTATAAAAACTTCTCCATGGAATTGATTTGCCAATTTACAGTAATTCCTGCCATTAGATAACAAGAGGCATTTATTTAGTTATTTATTTGTGGAAGTTCTTAGTGTCAAGCAATTATAAATCCTGTGGCATGTTTATCATTTGCTTATAATTACAAAGTACCATTGACATGTGATCAGGACCAATAAAGAAAATGATCTCAAGATTGAATTTATCCTTCTAATCTTCCTTGTCATGATTACTGAATCACTGAAATGAAATTCATACATCCTGTTTGCTTTACACACAAGAAAAGGCAAATGGGTTTGCAATTGCAACAAGTTCTCTTTCACTTTCATGACCTTGTTCCTGAGCCATTGTTCCCCATCTGTCACTTAGCTTTCTCATGAGCTCCTTTTATTGTCTTGATTCTGACATAGGTCCCACAGAGAACTGATTGGTTTTGTAGATCTTTGAATTCTCCAAACTAACTTAGATACATATACACTCATGCACTCATGCACACTCGTGCACACACCCACACACATATGCACACAAACTCTCTAATTTAAATTTATGAAGGTAACATCTCAGGGCCTTTGTCAGTTAATCTACTTGACACATTCCTCCAGGAATGCAGTATTAATCCTCCTTGTATTCTTTAGATATACCTGTGTGCTCCATCTCCATGCCATAGACAGAAGTCAGAGAGCATTAAATTTGGATACTGTGGGATGTTCTGTGATAAAATATTTTGTAAATGTACTTTAATATTCAGAAAATTGTGATCTTAAAGGTTTAGAACAGAGAATGTCTCAGAGTTTTTAGATTGTTTTTTAAATAATAAAAGGTAATCCAAATGCCATGTTGAATTTATCCTCAAGCTGTGTGATTCATTTATCTTTAGTTGATGGTATGGGAAGAAAATGTCAGCCATTTCTGAGTAAATAATATTGGAAGTTTGCACCTGTCACTAGCATATTTTAATAGTTATTTAAATTTCTGAATATTGACTTATTAGTAGCTATTTATCTGATTCCTAATCTAAGTGAAGAAGCTGAACAACTGTGATAAATAGACACAGAGAAATGTATGAGTTAAGAAAAATTATAATTTGACACTAGACACGCCTACCCATGGAGGACCATCATGAGTCACTGCATGCCGGATCTTTGACCCCCCCATCGCCAGGCCTCTGCTAGAGATGAGTCTGGGACCAGTTCAGGTTTAATACCCCCCACACCCTTCCCTGGGAACTTCCTGGATTGGCCCCAAATATCATCCCCCCCCTACCCCGTGTCCTGTCCCCAAGGAGAGCACTCCTGGTGCTCTAATACACTCCTCCCCCCCCCACACGAAAATCCTGCCCTCCCCCACCATGTGCCATGCCCTCCCCCACCATTTGCCATACCCTGCCCAATGTCTCACCATTCTGTTTGAGTACTGGAATAGAGGGAAGATCCAACAATCCCTCCACCTTCGGGGAACTTCCTGGAGCTTCTCTGAGCACACCCATCTACCCATGCTGGACCACCTTGAATGCCAGCCTGCCTGATCTCTGACCCCCATTGCTGGTCCTTTGCCAGAGTTCCGGGCTCTGGTCAAAGATTTGCCTATACCTGCGGGACCATTCTGAGTCCCTGCCTGCTGGATCTTTGACCCCCTTTGCCGGGCATCTGCTAGAGGACTTCTGCTGGTGCCTGATCTTTGACCTCCATCACTGGGCACCTGCCTGAGAAGAGACCTCCTCGAGAGCTTGGGCCACCCAGAGCTACAGCCATCAAACTTCTGACACACCTAAGCCCACTGGGGGAGTAGCATAGAGAGAGAGAGAGAGAGAGAGAGAGAGAGAGAGAGAGAGAGAGAGACCCCACCTGCACCCACTGGAAGAAAGGATGGAAAGACAGCAATACAAGAAAACACTTAACAATAGAAAGTCAAGCATGACACCACCAGAATCTAGGGACTCTACACCAACTACACCTGAACACAACAAAGCAGATGAAGCAGAAGAGAATGACTTAAAAATATCTCCATAAAAATGATAGAGGCCTTCTAGGACAATGTGAGAAAATTTGTTAAAGAAATGGAAAAAAAGACAAAAAATTGAAAGAAATTTACAAATTTCTTAAAGAAAATATGGAGAGCCAAGAAAAAAAAAAAAAAAAAACAACTAAACAGCTGAAGGAAATAGTTCAAGTCTTGAAAACTGAAATAGAGACAATAAAGAAAACACAAACTGAAGGAATGCTGGAAATAAAAAACTGGGAAATGATCAGGAACTACAGACACAGCATAACCAACAGAATACAACAGATAGAGGAAAGGATCTCAGGCGCTGAAGATAAACTAGAGGAAATAGACTCATCGACCAAAGAAAATCATAAATTCACCAAATCATTAACAGGAAACATCCAGGAAATGTAGGAATCCATGAAAAGGCCAAACATAAGAATAATACTCATAGAGGAAGGTGAAGAAGCCCAGATATAAACTGCTGTAAACATATTTTTAAAAAAAATCATTGAAGAAAACTTTCCCAATCTGAAGAAGAGCATGCCCATGAAAGTACAATTATACCGAACACCAAATAGACTGGACCAAACAAAGAAGGCCCCCTCAACACATAATAATCAAAACACCTAACATACAGAATAAAGAGAGAATATTAAAAGCAGTGAAGCAAAAAGGTCAGGTAACATATAAAGGCAGACCTAACAAAATTGCACCTGACTTCCCATAGAAAGTCTCAAGGCCAGAAGGTCCTGGATAGATGTTTTACAATTACTAAGAGTCTACAAATGCCAGCCCAGGCTACTATACCCAGCAAAACGCTCAATCACTATAGAAGGAGAAAACAAGATATTTAATGACAAAGCCAGATTTTCACAAAACATATCTACAAATCGAGCCCTACAGAAAGTATGGGAAGGAAAACTCCAACCCAAGGAAGTTAAATACACTCACAAAGATGTTGGCAATACATAATCCCACTTTACCAAAAAGAAAAAAGAAAATGCAGGGCAAATACATTCACAATACACACTGCCAACAACAAATCTAAAATAAACAAACATTAACAATCAATGTTCCTTTTTTTTTCCTTCAACATTAATGGTCTTAACTCACCTATAAAAAGACACAGGCTAACAGAATGGATATAAAGAACCCATCCTTCTGCTGCATACAAGAAATACATCTAAGCTTCAAAGACAGACATTACCTCAGGATTAAGTGTTGGGAAAAGATCTTCCAATCAAATGGATCAAAGAAGCAAGCGGGTATAGCTATCCTAATATGTAACAGGTTAGATTTCAAACCAAAATCAATCAAAAGAGATGAGGAAGGTTATTTCATATTCATCACAGGAGAAGTCTATCAGTACAAAGTCTCAATTCTGAACACCCATGTCCCAGATACATTGGCACCAACATTCATAAAAGAAAAGCTACTAAAACTCAAAGCTCACATAAAACCACATGCACTCATGGTGGGAGACTTCAACACCCCACTCTCACTACTACACAGGACCACCCAACAGAAACTTAACAAAGAAACAAAAGAACTAACAGAAGTTATGTCCAAATTGGTTTTAACAGACATCTATAGAACATTCCCTCCAAACACAAAAGAATATAACTTTTTCTTAGCTCCACATGGAACCTTCTCTAAAACTGACCAAATACAATAAACTTCGACATATACAAAAAAAAAAAAAAAAAAAAAAAACAAAGAAACAAAACAAAACAAAAAATAGAGTAGTCACCTGTATCGTATCAGACCACCATGCTTTAAAGTTAGAATTCAACAACACTAATTGCAAAAACCCTAAAAACTCATGGAAACTGAACAATGAGCAATTTTACCATTCCTGGGTCAAGGAAGAAATAAAGATAGAAATTAAAGATTTCCTAGAATTCAGCAAAAATGAAGATAGATACTTGCACATATCACATACTTTGAAAGCAATGCTAAGGGGAAAGTTCATTGCACTAAGTGCCCAGATGAAGAAAATTGAGAATAGTTACATTAGAGAATTAACAGCACAACTAAATGCCTTAGAACAAAAAGAAGCAAACTCATCCTGAAGTTTTAGATGCCAAGAAATAAACAATTTGAGGGCTAAAATCAATAAAGTGGAAACTAGGAAAACAATACAAAGAATTCAATACCAATTCATGATAAAGGTCTTAGAGAGATCAGGAATGAGAGGAACATACCTAAACATAATAAAAACAATATACAATAAACCAACAGCCAACATCAAACTAAATGGAGAGAAGCTTGAGACGATTCCTCTAAAATCAGGAACAAGACAAGACTGCCCACTCTCTCCATATCTCTTCAATATTGTACTTGAAGTTCTAGCTAAAGCAATAAGACAACAAAAGGAGATCAAGGGGGATATCAGTACAATTGGAAAGGAAGAAGTCAAACTGTCTCTATTTGCAGATGATATGATAGTTTATATAAGTGACTTAAAAAAACTCTGCCAGGGAACTCCTACAGCTGATAAACACCTTCAGCAAAGTAGCAGGATACAAGTTATACTCAAAAAAATCAGTTGCCCTACTATATACAGATGACAAAGGGGAAGAGAAAAAAATCAGAGAAACATCACCCTTTACAATAGCCACAAACAACATAAAGTATCTTGGAGTAACACATACCTAACAATGGAAGACCTATATAATAAGAATTTTGTGTTTTAAAGAAAGTAATTAAAGAAGATACTAGAAAATGGAAAGATCTCCCATGCTCCTGGATAGGTAGGATCAACATAGTAAAAAGGGCAATCTTGCCAAACGCAATCTACAGATTCAATGTAATCCCCATTAAAATCCCAGCACAATTCTTCACTGACCTTGAAAACATAATAATCAGCTTTATATGGAAAAATGAAATACCCAGGATATCCAAAACAACACTGTACAATAACGGAACTTCGGGTGACATCATATCCCTGACTTTTAGCTCTACTACAGAGCAATACTCCTGAAAAGAGCCTGGGTATTGGTGCAAAAATAGACAAGTAGACCAATGGAATTGAATAAAAAATCCAGACATTCACCCACACACTTATGAACACATGATTTTTGACTAAATAGCTTACAATGGGAGGAGCAAGGCATCTTCAAAAAATGGTGCTGGCACAACTGGATCATGGTGTGTAGAAGACTACAGATAGACCCATGTCTATCGCCATGCACAAAACTCAAATCCAAATGGATCAAAGACCTCAACATAAATCCAGCCACACTGAACCTCTTAGAAGAGAAAGTGGGAGGTACCCTTGAACAAATTTGTACAAGAGACAGCTTCCTGAACATAAAACCAGTAGTACAGACACAGATCAAAAATTAATAAATGGGACCTCTCCAAACTGAGAAGCTTCTGTAAGGCAAAGAACACAGTTGACAAGACCAAATGACAGCCCACAGACTGTGAAAATTCAGCAATCCTACATCTGATAGAGGGCTGATCTCCAAAATATACAAAGAACTCAAGAAAGTAGTCAAGAAAACACCAAATAACCCTATTAAAAAGTGGGGTACAGAACTGAAGAAAGAATTCTCAATAGAGGAAATCAAAAAGGCTGAAAGACACTTAAGAAAGTGCTCAACATCCTTAGCTATCAGGGAAGTGCAAATCAAAATAACTTTGGGATACCATCTCACTATTGCCAGAATGGCTGAAATTAGAAACACCAATGACAACTTATGCTGAAGAGGATGTGGAGAAATACGAATACTCTTCCACTGCTGGTGGGAATGCAAACTTGTACAACCACTTTTGAAATCTGGATGATGTTCCTCAGGAAAATGGGAATCAGTCTACCAGAAGACCCAGCGATCTCCCTCTTAGGCATATACCCAAATGATCCACATCCATGCAACAAAGACATTTGCTCAACTATGTTATAGCAGCATTATTTGCAATAGCAAGTACCTGGAAGCAACCTAGATGCCCCTCAACTGAAGAATGGATAAAGAAGATGTGCACATTTACACAATAAAATACTACTCTGGGGAAAACAAAAACAAAAACACAATGGAATATTGAAATTCTCAGACGTGGATGAAACGTGAAGAAACCATCCTGAACGAGGTAACTGCATCACAAAAAGAGGAACATGGTATGTACTCGCACATATATGAATTTTAGACATAGGGCAAAGGATCACCAGCATATAATTCACACTGCCAGATAAACTAGGATACAAGGAGGATTGTATCCGATTCATATAAAGTCCCTCATAGAAGGGGAAAGTGAGAAGATCTTCTGAGCATATGGGGAGTGTGTGTGTGGGGGGGGGGGGGAGTGAGTGAAGAGGGAACTAGGAGAAAGAGAAAGGGAGGTGAGGAACGCACATGGGACTAGGAAGATTGAGTCAGGGGAGGAATAGAGGAGAGAGAGAGAGAGAGAGAGAGAGAGAGAGAGAGAGAGAGAGAGAGAGAGAGAGAGAATAAAAGAGGGAGCCATTATAGGTTTGAAGAGGACACTGAACCTAGAGTA